ATACATGAGGAACTCAGGGAAATGCAAGTATTGAGAACTCAGAGAGGCGGGGGGGTCAGAATCTCCTTAGAAAGGCAGTGGGTGCCCATTCTAGATCCACAGGAGCTCAGGGATGGGGCTGCTGTGCAGTGGGAACCTGGGTCTTCAGTCAGCTCTTCTATGCCTAGGGAAACCAGTTGTCCCTCCTTTACTCTCCAGGCTTCTCAGAATATTCTAGGTCCTATCCAGGAGGGAGACGCCTGTTAGCTAAAAGTGCAGATCCTTTTGTATCCGGCCCCTTGGGGGGTACTGGTTGGCCTCTAAATAGCCACCTTTGTGTCCGTAGTCACCTCTGCTCAACCAGCAGTCATAGAGACTGAGGCTGCTGGTAGAGCTGGGGGTTGTGGCCAGGTTAACGTCAGCCTGAGTTGAGAAAAGACAGACATCACAACTCTTAAATCTGTAATATTGTCTGAAAGACATTTTGTTTTTGGAAAATTTATTTCCTACATGTCTGAGTTTGTACACATTGGGGAAACATCTAATTTGTCTAATCATTACATTTTAAAGACAGTGAAATTTGGTGGATACGTTTTCCCTCTGTTAGGAATAAGGCAGTACAGGAGCGCTGCCTTAGCTAACTTCTGCATTCAGTGTTGAGTCTTCTTCCTCAGTGTTGGAGTCTACATTTTAAGCAGGGCACACTAATGGCACAGCACTAAAGTTTTCTGTGTTGTGCTGTGCCATGAAAGTGTAAGCCCATTGTCAAACTGACTCTAGGGAAAGATGGAAATAGACTGATTCTGATCATGAACTTCAGAAGACCGTAGTATTTCCCAGCTGGAACTATTTCCCAGAAAGAACACATTTCTTCAAGAAGTTGTGCCTCACAAAATGCAATATAGATAGCATTCATATTATGTGATACTGGAGTTGCTTTGAGCAAAACTTGTATTTTGTATAGTTAATTATTTAATAAAAATGTATATTCATTTCCAGATTACAGATCATGGCAAGTTAGACTGTCTTCTCCTGAACCGTTGTACTTTAAGGGGGGAGTTTCATGCTTGGGCCCTCACCTCCTGCACAAGGCCTCATTCTCTGAAAGCCCTGTCTGTGGGAACACTTCACGCGGATCTCACTCATTTCCAGGATGTTCTCATCAAGATTCAGGGGGTGGCGGTGAGAGCATCATTTGAAACACAAAGGAGAAATTACTGCTGTGTTTCCTTCCTGTACAAAGTAGCAGCGCCTTATTTTTTTTTACATAGACTGCATGTCACATGTCACAGTAATTATTTGGGGAGACCTCAGCAATTTAGTCAACTGGTCCTTGTTCCTCTACAGCCACAGAGATTGATTCAGTGTAGATTGGTCATCAAAAAGCCCAAGACACTCTGTGTAACTTCAGAAAGATACTTTCTTTCATTCTTGGACATTAATTGGGAAGACATTAATTGGGATATTTGATTTCACATAGAAACTGATAGATAGTAAGCAGTCTGTAGCCAAGAGGGTCATCCAGGATTGGGATGAAGAAAATATGATGAAAGAGGAAAGCATGGAAATGTAAAGAAACCAGTTGCTTGGTGATAGGACTGGGTCATTAGATAAAACCAATGTTAAACTTGAACTGGTTTTCAAAAATCATAAATTTACCTAGGAAAAAATTGTAAAAAGAAAACAAAACAAAAAGTGGAGTAAAGTCTTGAGTAATTCAAAACCTTCTCACCTTCTCATCCATGCTCCAGAATTCAGGTGCAATCTCCTTTTTTTTTTTTGTTCAATCTAACTTGTTACTGACACCTCACTAATTTGGGGCTAAAAGAAAATAGGGCCCCAAATTAAAAATGTAGAGCTCATGTTAAAAATGTTCTGGCTTTAGTGGCTTATTTATATAACGACTTAGACATTAGGTTTTGAAAGAGGAAGGGGGAAGCGAGTTTGAGCACAGAATTCTAAAGAACATTTGGAAATAAGAAATAGAATCACACGTCATCCTAATTAGCCAGCAGAGGAGGACCAATTCTGCACTTCTGTCATGTTGCTACCACGCAAGAGCAAACTGTGACATTAGTTTAATTACATAAATTTGTGAGCTGAAAGAAACAACTTTTGTAATCAGACAGTATTGCCATTCGGATTACTGTGCAATATCTTTATTTAGTTTTTATTAAAATACTTATTAGAGAGATTTGTTTTTCAAAAAAAAAAAAAAAAAAAAAGCAAAAACAAAACCTCAGGCCTACCTGTATCTTAATGGCTTGAGGAGCGCTTTTCATTTCCCTTCTTTGATTCCTTCCAAAGGGTATCCCGATCACAAGCTCACATTCTGTAGGCTTGTCTGCCCGTGTCACTGCGCAGATGCCCTTGACTCTGTGCCATGCAATCAGTGAGTTAAAGAGCTGGAGGGAAGGCCTCCAGAAGGGATTGTTCAGGGAATGAATGATTCATATCATGAGCAATGAAAAATTCTTCTTCCTCTTTCTTCATTTTCTTCTTCTTGTTGTGCTGCTGCCATTTCCTCTCCATCACCATCGCCATCATTATCATCTCTTCCTTTGACTGAGTATGCACCTGTTTTCAGCATTGCATGCACATAGTTGCTTCTGCCCATCATTGCCAAGTCTCCTGACAGAATCACTGTACTTTTCCTGCACATACCTGCTTCCAGGGGAGTCTACTCTTCCCTCCCCCACCAACTGTCAGGGGGCTATGCTTACAGTCACATAACCTCACTTCACCCTTTTCTCCCACTTGTCATGCTTGATCAAACCAAGGCTGAGAGGCTGATGCAAGGAACAACCCCCCACCCCCCCAAAAAAATCCATAGGCTGACCAGAAACTGGAATTTGTGCAGCTTAATTAAAAATATTAGCATGGCCAATAACACTCTTGGGAATTAAATATAAGTGTGGAAAGGCTGTGCTAATTTTAAGTAGCAACTGAAGCAGAAAGGATAGAATATTGAACTGGAATTTTTAGCCTGGTGTCTGTGAACCCATTTAAATTAGGTGTGAAATTTGGGGGGTTTTTTGCATGAATAGTATGAACTGCCTTGCAAATTTGAGGTACATGCGGGATTACAACTCTTATTTACTGATTAGTTGCTCCATTTCTCAGCCAAAATTTCATTACTTAAGTCTCCCTCAACCCTTAAGTGCTGCAGTCATGCTGGGGTTTTGTAGTCCTGAAGTCCCTGTCCACTTCCCACCATGAAGCCGAGAAGCTGATGAAGCCCCTGCTACCAGTGTTCCCCAGTTCCATGGGAGTCATGATCAAGGCTCAGTTGCTGTATTCAGCAGCCAATATCATCATTGTCTGGATATAATGACACCTGTGTGGCTCCTAAAGTGGGGACAAGAGCAGCAGCTTAGAGCAGGGCTCAAGGTCTCAGAGCTTCATGGTCACTAGACGGCAGTCTGGTGCAGTCTAGCTCTGGATTAGGCCTCATTTGAAGCAGGGTCCTCTTCCACCATGTCTGTGCCCGTCACAGGGACACTTCTATTTTACTTGCTCTTGGATGTGAAGCTCATAATGAGATATTAACGCTCTTAGCTCTCCAGCCCCACCCCACCCCCCTTTTTTTTTCTAGGGGAAATAAAATGTCATAAAATCCAAGGGAGATTTCAGATACTCCTCTCACTACCACAGAAGAAAAGAAATCAAAACAAAACAACCCAGCAACAAAATGTAACTTTTATTTAAGCATTTTATTACCTTTCCATTTATAGTCTAGGAGACCCTGTGGATGAGTGGCATTCATGGTTTAGAAAAAGATGTTGAGAGTGCAGAACCATTAGGAGAAAGAGGAAGTAAGAGTCCAGATGGTAGTTAGGGTCAGTGAGTAAAAGGGACATGCCAGAATGGGGACAGAAAGAAGTAGGCCTGGGACAGGAGTCCCATGAATGGTGGTGAAAGTGCACAGGACGCTGAACTACACAGGCATCAAGCTGAGTGAATGAACAACAGCTACAGTGTCCCATTTATATGCAACTCAACAGGCAAAATTAACATACAGCGATACTGTTGTGATTCGATGATTCTTGTAAAACTGTTTTTAGTGGCAGGCTGGATTTGGCCTATGGGCCTAAGCTTGCTGACTGCTCGTCTATTTCTTCTTCTTTCATGTTAAAGAAGACAAACAAGAATAAATAATGGAAGATCTTATCTGATGATTCATATCCACATGCCCACAGTTCCCAGGACTGGGTTAGAACTGAAACCGGGACTTGGAAATCAGTGCTGGTCTCGTCTCTCACATGGGTGGCAGGATTCAGCGTCACTACCGCTCAGGTTCTGCGTTAGTCAGGTGCTGGAGTTAGGTGCTGGAGGCAGGTCTTGAACCCTGACTGCCTTATATGGAACACAGACATATTTAGAACATTTTAAATTTGCTTTCTTTTTGATGAAAAAAAAAGTCTAGATCTTTCACGTAGGTGACTGGGACTCAACTGCTTGTGCCTTCTTCACCTGTTACTTCCTAGAGTGCACATTAGCAGGAAACTGGACTTGAAGGCAGAGCCAGCTCTCAAAAACAGCCATTCCTGAATGGGATGCAGAATCCCAAGTGGTGTCTTACGCACAGTGCCAAATGCCTATGCCCAAGCTAAACATTTAACCATTAAGACAATCACCTGCCCAGAATCTGTATCTTGATTTGGGGTGTCTGTACATGTACAAATTCACTGAGCTGCCCATGTATGATTTAAGTGCTTTGTTGTTAAGTATAGCTCATTTAGGAAGTGGAAGGTGGTGGTTATTAAGGGGTTAAGTTAAACGACCAGCTTCAGGTTGTGATTCTTGTATGGAACTGATCAGGGCTTCTGCTCTTGGATTCTGGGGGTTCTATATGGGTCTGTGCATCCCCTCCTTTATTCTTTTCTTTGTCACAAACAAGCCTCTCAGAGCACCAGACTGGCTTCGGGTAGGGTACCTGAAAGCATGGCCCATGGATAATGAGACCACACTCGTTAAAGTTAGGTAGTTGGCACAGGATTACCCCACACACATGCAAATATTCCTGGCTTCACTCCTCCATCCACCCAGGCCTCTTGACCAGAGAAAAGTCCATCTTCCCTTAGATAGCAAGATTCAGCTTCTCCCATCATCTGATTGCTGGCTGCCCTTTGCATTCTCATGTTCCAGCTCGTCTGGCTATTGTTTGTTCTCAGTGTTCAGCTTGACAGGAGGTGGAGAAAAACACACAACCAAGGTCAGGGAATGGCAAGCTCTCTCCTCCATTAAGTCTGTCTTTGTTTTTAAACAGCACTGATCAAAAAAATCACCTGCACATTTTCTCAGACCATTGGGTTGTCCCTGAGCTCTCCTCCCACGTCTGGGAGCTTCTGCTTAGCCATATCCAATCTCACTGGTGCCCCAGACAGAGGCTGGAATAAAGAAAAAGAGATCCTTGCCATGAGCTCTCACCCTTAGGGGTTCCCAAAAGCAATTTCTTAGGCAAAAAGTGGAAAAGGAAAAGCAGCATTTTTTTTTCTGAGCACTTAAGGCCTTAAGGGCTCCAGATCCCCAAGACAAAAGCAGAGGCTGTGTGGTTTTGCTTCACTTTAAACTCTCTATAATTTAGAGGGCTCAACCTGTGTCAGCAAAGCAGCACTGTTACCTTGGCACTTGACAGCTAAGAGGTGAGAAAGGCCTTCAAGTGGCTAGAAGGAGGCTTGAGAGCAGCCTACACTGGGCCTTGCTGGCCCCACTCACACAGCAAACATGGCAGCACTGAGGGGTGATAAACAATTCAGGCAGGACCACCCTCAGCTGTTTGATGTCATACTTTCTGATGATTATAATAACAAATTATTAACCATTTAGTGGTTTATAACATCACACCAATCGGAGCTCATTTTTCCTGGCAGTTAAGATGTGCACATCTCATGCTGGCACGCTTAGGTTCAAGTCCTTGTCATTTCTAACAGAGCTGTTCTGAACCAATGCCCATAGAGGGGCTCTGCTGATGTCTCTCATGCTTGCTTCTGTCCTGGAATCACTTGTCCCAGGACATGAGTAAGAACTGGCTTTTGTGAATCCTGAAACCCCTGGCCTCAGTGTGCCAAAGCAAGAGGTGAGAGGATCCCAAGAAAATGCTAGGCAGCCGTGGCCTTTTGCTGGTCGTTCTGACAAAGGTTGTAGCTCTCCTCCTTTGCTGTTCTGCTCCTTTGGGCATCATCCAACTTTGGGCATTTACTAGGATAGAGCCCATTTGGGGTTCCAGAAACACATGGGGGTGGATTTGGTCCCTTCTGTTTGCATGGGTTAAAAAAACCTTAGCAAGTTAGTTGCTACTGTATTGTACTGTTCAGCACAAACAGAACTTTGCCATCACTGCAGGAAGTACTACTGGACAAGCCAAACTAAAATATGAGTCCTTCTCTCCTACCTCTTTGAAATTATACCAGGGAAGTGTTTCTCAAAAAGCTCTACAAAGAATTTGAGGGAGGCCACAGAGCCTACAAAGTGCATATTTTAGGTTAGATAATCTGAAATATACCCACCACATTAATTAGAAATAGAGACAGAAATGAACACTGATGTTATGAAAGCAGTGACTAGATTTTCAGACCATGGACTTAGGGGACTAGGCATTACTTTATACAGACCATTCCTTCTGGGACAGCCTCGGTAATTCGGCATGGGGAAGATCATGTCACAGACAGTTACTCAATTTAAAATAGAGATCATCTAGAGCTATGTTTAAGTATTTGGGGAAAACAAACCATTAAGTCCACCCGCATCTCAGAAGCAGGTGTGGGGAGATGGAAACCAGCCAGCTCTGACAGCATTTAGCAAAAGCAAACATGAGAGCTGCAGCAGCCACTCAGCATGCATCTGCTACCATGCAAGGAGCTGAACAATGGCTGCATGACATCACAGGGCCTCCTTGAGGAGGAAGAGCAGCCTTCGAGTCAGATGCAATACCATCCCTACTTGACTGACAAATTGGGACTGTAATGTCCCACTGGTCAGCCTGCTTCCATTCTCTTCCTTTGACTGCAGCTGTGCCTATTGGGGACATGGTAGTGAGAACTTTTACAAACCCTGTAGTTCAGTATTGCCACTAAAATGATCCCAAGTGCCCAATGACAAATCTCATTTATGTGTGTTGCTTTTAAAAGAAACATATTGTTACCCTTGTTATTTTTATTTGTATAGTTTCTATTAGTAGATTATCATGCAGAAAAATGGACTTTTGTAATTTTCAAAAATTATGTTACTTACCTGAAAAACAGTATAAAAGAGAAAGAAAGAATATCTTATCCTCTAGTTTACATTTCCCAAATGAATGCAATGACTAGGGCTGGGCAAGTTTGAAGCCAGGAACTAGCAGCTTTTTCTGGTCTGCCACATGGTTATAGGGCCATCTTCTACTGCTTGCAGTAAATATAAGAAGGTGTTAGTTTAAATAAGATACATTATTCATAGTTGGTAGTAAACAATATCTTTTAGCAAACTTCATCCTAATTTGAGATTTGATCAATAATGAATGATGAATTAACGTTATATAAGGAAATAATGAAACACTAATTCAACAATGTCATTAAACTCAATCATATATTATAACTACTTTATCCATTCCGCAGTTATCTACAGAGCATCTGCTTGATGTTAGACTCTGTTCTCTGCCTCAGCATAGCAGGTGAATGAGACAGTGACCTGGAGCTCAGAAAGTTCCTATATTACTGGAGGAGGGGAGACTGCCTCGTCAGATCATTACAGCTAGAGATCTGTGCTAGGAAGAGTGGTCAGTGAAATGGGAGAGGGTCTACCCAACTCACCAGCTATTTCATTCAAGAGGCCCAGAAATGCTCCATCTGAGGAGGGAACATTTGCTCTAACCCCTGTGACTTGTAGCATGTCAGCATTCAAACCTATAGCCGGAAGACAAAATGGGAAGGAATGAGCCTGAGCTCCAAACTTTATTTATGGGCACTAGAATTTTTATTTCTTATAATCTTATGTACAATGCATGTTTTTGTTATTATTTATAATTTTAAAATGTCACAGGAAAAATTTGTCCCGAGGCTGTGCAGGTTTGTGTCCTAGCCTTATCAGGATCTTCCCTAAGTGATGCTGAGACAGGATGCTGCCCTCCAGGACCAGTGTGGAAATAACAGTCAGATAGGCAAGCAACAATCTCTACTTAAAGGAAGAATTACCCAGCCTGAGAGATTAGCAGGTGTGAAGATCCTCAGGCAGCAATAGCCTAGAATGTTTCCCAGCCAGGAGCAGGGTCCCAAACCTCTTCATCTTGAAACTGACTTCAAAATGTGTTGTGAGGAGCAATATCATCCTCTTGCTGGCCAAGCAACCGTAATTAATGAAAAATATTTTAAGAAACAGAAACCATTTAAATTATCTAAAAGGTATCATATGAACACCTAACAAGAAAGAGCATTCATTTAAAAAATCACTCACATATTGACAAGAATAGTCAGAATCTTTGCCAGTTGAGTCAGGATCTACCTTACTCCTCCCACATCCCAGCTCCATGGTGCAGAAGCAAAATTCCAGGTCAATGCAATATTGCCAAGAGGCTGGAGTGGCTTTCTTCTTCCCCAGAATCTACACTCATAGTGGGTAGGCATTCCTTTAGGTGTTCTGAGCTGAGAATGCTGGGGTCTCATTATTGGTATCCCATTTGGGTTTTTGGCAGATGTTCCATGTTAGGAAAAGTAACCAAGAAGAATAGAGGCCATTGTCCTACCCCAGCCCTGTCCTCCAGAGAGAAGTGTGTCAGCTCTCGGAATAGAATCTTGTCATTTTGCCCAAGAGGAGAAACAGGACATAGAAAGAGAATTCATGAGTTCTCTACAGAAAAAAAAGAAACAACTTTTAAAAAAGTAATAATTTATTTAAGAGAGCAGGAAGAGAATTCCCATCCACTACTTCACTCATCAATGGACCCTCATTGCCAGGGCAGAGTCACGGTTACAGCTCAGAGCCAGGAAATCAATTCAGGTCTTTCAGATGAGTATTAACCATGCAATGACTTGAGCCCATCACCACTTACTTCCAAGGTTTGCATTATCAGGATGATGGAGTCAGGAGCTGGAGCTGGCTATGAAACTCAAATGATCTGAAATTGTACAAAATTTTCTTTATTATTGTTTCCAGCGCTATGACAGATGCCTGCATGTGAAGAGAAGCTAACTTTATTATGAAAAGAATGCAGATAATATGAAGCTTAAGAGTGCTGAATATCTTTTCCTTTGGGTAGGGGGTATCATAACAAATACTGCACTTTTGGTTTTAATATCGTACATTTGTCCGCCTATACTCCAAGAAGCCAGAGGCCTGAATCAAATTGTCATAGGGTGTAATTTTTGGAGGCTCTGGAGGAGCCTCGTCTAGTTACTGCTGGTTTCCTTGAATTCTATGATGTTGTTTGATTTGTGGCCATGGCACTTCATTCCCTGTCTCCATTTTCATGTTCTATTTCTGGGGCCTCTTTTGTGTCTGATGACACTCAGCTTCTCTCTCTAACAGTGTGGATTTCTTTGAGTTTATCATATCAGGTGTTCCTTGAGCATCTTATATCTATAGATACATATGTTTCATCAATTTGGGAGACTTACAACCATTACATCTTCAAACATCCCATCTTCTCTGTGTTCCCTCCTCACTTATCCTCTCTTCTCTTCTTGGACTTCTAATATTAGTGCATGAATGTGTATAGATTAATTTGATGTCATCAGAATTAAAAATGTTTGTGCTGAAAATATCTATCAGGAAAGCAGAAAAACAATTCACGAGAAGAGTAAACTATTTCAAATATCATATATGATAAAAGATTTGTAAAGATTACCTACAAGTTAATAACAAAATGATGAATAACTTAATAATATATAGGCAAAGAATAAGAATAGATATTTCTTCAAAAAATGGCCACAAAGCACATGAATAGACACTCAACACAATTAGCTAGTAGAAATACAAATTCAAACCTTAGTAACATATCACCATCAACCAGAATCATGCTGACAAAAAACAAAGGTGGGTAATGATGCGAAAAAATTGAAACACTATTAAACTGCTGATAGGCATGTAAAATGGTACAGCCAACTGATGATTCTTCAATGTTTTTCTCAACATACAGCTTCTAGATGACTCAGCAATCCAACTCCTGGGTGCATACTCCAAGGCTACACTTGTTCATAAATATTCAAGCTATATTATTAATGATAGTCAAAAACAGAAACAATTCAAATGTCAGTCAGCAGATGAATGGATACACAAAACACAGTATATCCATAAATCAGAATATTATCCAGCTATAAAAGGAAGTAGTAATACATATTGCAACATGACTAAACTTTGATAATATTTTACTAATGATGGAAAAAGACCATACAAGGTACAAAAGACCATCTGTCATATAACTCCATTTGTATGGAATGGCCACATACATGGCAAATCTATAGAGATAGAAAATAGATTAGAAGTTGTCAATGATAATAAGATTAGAAGAAAAAAAGAGCTGACTGCTGAGAGATACAAGTTTCTTTTCAGGGCGATGGAAATGTATTAAAATTAATTGTGGTGACGGTCTCACGACGGTGAACATACCAGAACCAACTAGTGTATATAACTTTTTTTTCAAGATTTATTTATTTATTTATTGGAAAGTCAGATATACAGAGAGGAGGAGAGACAGAGAGGATTTTCCATCCAATGATTCACTCCCCAAGTGAGCTCAACGGCCGATACTATGCCATTCCAAAGCCAGGATCCAGGAACTTCTTCCGGATCTCCCACATGGGTGCAGGGTCCCAATGCCTTGGGCTGTCCTCAACTGCTTTCCCAGGCCACAAGCAGGGAGCTGGATGGGAAGTGGATCTACCGGGATTAGAACCAGCGCCCATATGGGATCCCGGGCGTGCAAGGCAAGGACTTTAGCTGCTAGGCCAGTGTACCAGGCCCATAGTGTATATAACTTTAAATGAATGAGCTGTGTGGGATGTGAATTCTATCTCAATATGACTATTAATTAAAAAAATATGATACTGGAAATGTGGAGAGGGAAGGGCCACAAAATTCTGTAGGATCTTGTAAGTCATGGGGTGTTTGGTTTCACTTAAGGGAACCAGAAGACATGGGAAGTTGGGGGAGGACAGTGATATAATCTAATTCATATTAATAATAATTGCTAATTTCATTTCACATTAGGAGCAGTATTTTCAGTATGGCTATACTGTTGACTCTGGTTTGGGCAAAATGCATTAATCCAATGCCAGCTCTGTAATTTCCAGGATACCAGTGACTGTTGAGCACTCACACACTGCAAGTCCAGGGTCAAGCCCAACTACAAAGAGGTCTGAAAAATTACCTACCAGAACCTCCTCCTGCTTGCTGCAGTGGTGTACCAGATGCCCAGCTTTCAGGCAGTTTTGTCAGCAATGAACAATCTTGTTGTGGGGCATTCATCCAGGGCTACAACTAGTCACGCCTCTGCCATTTGCCTGTTTGCATGACCCTAATCATGGAAAAGAAACTCTGCTTTCCCAGGAATCAGTCCCCAATGCATTTTACCCCGGATCACAGGGTGACTCCATGTCTTGGGGCTACATTTCCCCTATAATCTCCTGTGTGTCCCCGAAGACTCCTGGGTTTTCATTGTGCATGTTAGCAGTAATCTTTGAAAATGCATAAAGGTTCCTAAAGAAACATTTCCCCTGAGTGTGGAAACAGACCCAGCCAGCTTTTCTCTGTGAGGTCTGACAGTGATTAGCACGGAAGGAAGCAAACATCTCATTCTGCAGTTAACCTGTCTCATGACGTCATTTGGAACTGGGAACTGGCTGTATGTTTTCAACAAAATAAGGACTCTTCTAGATATGTTGATGGCAATGAGACCATGACATGAGAAGCTGGAGTCATAATAATAAATCCCAGAGCCCAAAGGTTTGAGCCAAGGAGCAGACATTCTAATACCTTTGGGACCATGATAATGGCATATGGTTCTTTTCTTCAAAGGCAGCAAGTAAACTGTGCTTACCTGAGAGATGGTGGCTCTGAAAATTTAATTTTTTTCAGTGAAATATTAATTAAACTAACCCTACTGGCAGACTCATGGTCCTCCAACTTGCAAGCCCAAGGATGGATTTGAACAATCACCTTTAACCTTGGGATTATTTTTGACTTACTGAAGCCTCTAAGTCAATATATCCTAAGTACCCGGGAAATGGAGGTACTTCCCCAGGCAGGATTCTGTCTATAGATGTTGGCTCATTGTCTGATTATAGTAAAAGGTAAACAGTGCTCCTGACCTTTAGGTGATCTCTAGACGGGAAGGGGCCTTGAGGATGGTCAGGATTCTGTTCTCCACACATCAGGTACTAGGCAAAGCATTTTAGAAACATTTTATATGCTTACTGACTTTAATCCTCATTAAATAGAAACTATTAGAATCTTGATCTAACTGAGAAAATAAGTAACTCATTTAAATCCCAGAACTCCATGGTTTTCAAAACCCTCAAAAGAAAAATATTCAAGAAAACATACTGTTCTTTAGAAGTAATAATAATTTTATACCTAGAGCTATCTCCGTATCTATGTCTATGTAAGGCTGAGCGGCAGACTAGAGATAGAAACAGCTATCGTTCATATGTTAGTTTACTCCCAAATGGCCATCATATCTAGGACCAGCAAAGCTAAAGCAAGGAACTCCATCCTGATGCTCCACATGGGCTTCGTGGATCCAGGTATTTGGGCCATCTGCTGCCTTCCCAAGCACATTATTGAAGCTGCATCAGAGACAGAGTAACTGGGACAGGGATCAGTACTCTTATAAAGGATGTTGGCATCGCAAGCGAAAGCTTATCTGGCTGTGTCACAGTACCAGCCCCGAGTATTAATTTCTTTGCTGGGTTTCAAGAATGTGTTTCAGTGATTTACATGAATTTCAGTTTAAATTTTATGGGCATTCCCATGGTTATAAATACTTCTGAAACATGTTTTTAAAGGTGGTAGGAGGGGCTAGGGCAATGACTCAACTGGTTAATCCTCCACCTCCAATCACAGCATCCAGTATGGGTTTCGGTTTGTGTCGCAGCTGCTCTACTTCCCATCCAGCTTCATGTTTGTGGCCTGGGGAAACAGAAAAGGATGGCCCAAATCCTTGGGACTCTGCACACAGGCAGGAGACCCAGAAAAAGCTCCTGAGCATCGTGCTTCATATCAGCTCAGCTCTGGCCATTGTGGCTACTTAAGCAAATGGAGGATTTTTCTGTTTGTCTCTCCTCTCTGTAAATCTACCTTTCCAATAAAAATAATATAAACCTTTAAAAAATATTTAAAAACTTGAAAAAAAAAGTGCAGGGTGCAGGGTCCCAAGGCTTTGGGCCATCATCTACTGCTATCCCAGGCCACAAGCAGGGAGCTGGATGGGACGTGGAGCAGACAGGACAGGAACCATTGCCCATATGGAGTCCTGGCACTTGAACCTGGAGGATTAGCCACTTGAGCCTCTGGTCTGGGCCCCACTGGCTGGTCTACTTTGGATCTAACTGTTAATATATCTTGGAAAGCAGCTAACAATGGCCCAGGTGCTTAGGTTTCTGTACCAATTTTGGGAGACCAAAACAAAACAAAACCCAGAAAAACTTCCTGGCTCTTAGTTTCAGAACTACTCAGCTTTAGCTTGTGGGTGTTGGGGAAGTGTAACAGAGATGGAAGATCTCTCTCTCTCTCTCTTTTTCTCTCTCTCTCTCTCCCTCTCCCCCCTCCCTTTCTCTCCCTCTCTCCTTTTCTCCCCCTATTCCTTCCTTCCTCCATTCCTTTCTCTGTAACTCTGCCTTTCAAACAAATAAATCTTTAAAAAAAAGAAAGAAAAAGAAGAGTAATTTATCACCTGTTTATTGTAAAATTCATTGGCCTTTGATCTAAAAAAATTAATAAACATAACGTATCATTTGCACAAGTCCTATAATTGGTTCCCACTGGGAGTTTCCTCAGGTTTGGACAATGGAGCAAATAAATGCTTTAATGAAGTTCTCGCTTTGCTCCTAATTTTTTCTGAGTAGGAGCAAAAATATCAGTAGGGGTCAAACCTTTCCCCAGGTCACAGAGTGGTTTGGGAAAAATGATGAATAATAACAATAGCAGTGATCTCCAAACAGCTCCCTTTTCTGAGTATTTAAACACTAGACTCAGTGCTTTCACCCAACAAATCTGGGAATCTTCATGTCTACCCTCCAAGATCATTGCTGTTATTACCCACATCTGGTTGCTGAGAATGCTGGGGGAAGTCCAGGATCATCGAGCTTTTTGCTTAGCCCCCTCTTTGCTTTTCATCTCATATTGGATGAGCTTTGCTCACAGGCCCTGCTTAAGGGAGTGGGGAGGCTGAAAAGAACAGGTGTGACCACTAAGGAGGAGAATGAGCCTCCTGTGGCCACAGGGAAAAGAGAGGTGAGGCATGCAGAATGCACCTACTCCAGGAATCACGTACAAAGTAAAACATCTCCTCTAGACCAGTCCTATCTGATTGCTCTCAGCCTGCTGGTCTCACAAAGGCTCCCACTAGCCTGCTCCAGCCCATGTGTTGACCACTACATCAACTCAGTTTCTAACATCCGGGCCTCAGAAACCAGGTTCCATAGTGGAACGCGTCTCCCAGGTGATTCTCATGAAAAGGAATGCCGGGAAACCACTGGGTGGAGCCGGCAGGATTTCGTGAAGAGAGACTCGAGCGGGAGTGGATGAGTCTTCATGGCCACGGCGAGGTGGAGTCTGGCTGTCTCTGTGAAAACGGGATTGTGGTGAGTGGTCGAATTTTGCTCTCAGAGTAAAAAACTGGGAATTTGGAGGAGGATGTGGGAAAAGAAGAAGACCTGGATGGGTGATACACCTTCTATCTTTAGGATTACTGCCTCTTTATGTCCGTATGCCCCCCACAGAAGTTCTAATACTGCAGTGTAGGGCCGTGCTGTCCGACGGTGAAGCGATTTGGCGATGATAGTTTAAAATACTAAAATGGGGAGGTTACCCTTGTTAGTAAAACCATCTAAACAGACCCTTTAAGGTTAAACAGAAGTGGGGTCGGGGTGGAGAGGAACCTTTCTTGGCTAAATTTAGAGAGAAGCACACGGTATTGGAAAGTGGGAGGAATTCCCAGTGTGAGAAGTAATCTACCACTTATTAATGGCTTTAAGAAGCAGAAAGGAGAGCCCCGCTCAGAACTGCATGGCTCATAGAAGAGACAAGCCCCCAACTGACAAATAACTGGATTCTGCCAGCACCTTGAGGGAAGCAGAGATTGTCTCCTAGAGTCTCCAGGACAGCCTAGCCTCGGGGACATCTTATTTCAGTGAGTGTAACCTGCAATACAGCTCCAATTGAAAAGAGACTAAGATGTCGCATTAGTCTTGTTTTCAGCCACCAACTTTGTGCCCACCTGTACTAGGTGACTATTATCGCTTATAAATGAAAATGTGGAGGCTTGTAGCTGGTTAGAAAGTGGTTCAGGACAAAGACATTTTGGAGGGGAATTGGGGGGAAAGAGTTACTTTGAGAAAATGAATCTTCATGCCTTAATCTCAACAGATATAAATCTCAAGACTTGTTTATTGTTTCCTGCCTCATCTCCCCCCAACTCCTCAGACAGGACGGACACTGAGAAAAGGTGTTAAAAAGGCAGCTTTCGTTGACTTGCTCTGAAAAATGTGTGAAAGAGGGGGGAGCCCTTTTAGATGGCAGAGACTCATGCCAAGGCTCAGAATTTTTCTTACTTGTTGGCATTGCATTTTTAGCCATGGTAGTGCTAGACTGGGGACAGATTGTGGGCTGTTTTTACCTCTTGGTTCAACCTCCGTTTCACAAAGACATGGCTCGCGCGTCTAAGCACCTGAGTGTACTTGTGTGGAAGTATTCAGCAGTGCTGGGGAGTGGGTGGAGGTTGATTGTGACTTGGTCGTGCCTCGAGATTCTTGTTCTTGTTTCCACTCGGGCCCTGGAGAATTGTTGTTAGAGTGACTGCTTTTGTTTATCCTCTGCTCTGTGTTTGTCACGCAGTGTTCCAAGAGAGGAATAAATGTATCGTCTAATTCATGAGGATATAATACTATAACCGTATATTCCTTTGTCTGAATTGTGTTCTTAACTATTACCTTGTCTGTGCTTTAATTGAATTGGCTAGAGACAGCACATGGCAATTGTTAAGGTTAACGACCCAATGATTTACAAGACAAGGCACATTACTGGCAAATAGATTTTAGTAATTGTTCCACTCCTCGGTGAGAACAACGGTGTGTACATTGATTCACCACATCCTGCAGTTGGGGCTTTATCCAGAGAAGGCAGGGCTCGAGGGCCTGTGGAGGCCTGAGAGGAGGCTGCCAGAGATCGATGGGATTGGCAGGCTTAGGAATCTCTTCTTGTGAAAATGATTTTGCTCAGGAAAGCCCTCGGGTGCTCTCAGGTGGATTGAGTAATATATTTGCTGCAGGTGACGGAATTAAAACCAGAGAAAACTAATTAAAAATTAAAAACCCACAAAACTAGCACAGGTGATTTTTTTTCATCTGTTAGGATTGACAAATTTAAAGTATATGTTTTTTGTGGGGGACAGTGCCATGTTTATATACACGTTGCGAAATGATGACTGCGTCACGCTACTTCCCGGAACCATCATCTCACCTGGCTACCAGGGATGAAAACATTGGTATTCTCGTTCAGCAGATCTCAAGGATTCAGTACATTAGCATTGGATATAGTCACCAGGCTGTAACAGGAAGATTTTATCCTGTGCCACCCCTTTCCCCTGGTGCCCACTGTGCCACTCTGTACCTGAGTTCTGCTTTTTAGATGGTTGTGCGGAAGTGAGATTATGCAAGATTTTCCTTTCTGTCTCTAGCTGATTCACTTCACTAAATAACCTCCAAGTTCGTCCATGCTGTCACAAGCAAGGTTTAGTAGTATTTCATTTCGTTCGAATATCGTGTTTTCTTTACTCTTCTTCCAATATACCTAAGTCTCCCACCTCATCTATTCTGAATAAAGCTGCAAAACATATAGATGTGCTGATGTAAATATAGGGCCTTCTAAGGTGGACTATGGTAGGTACTGTGGAAAATTTCAGTGAAGAATTTAATTTGACATTTTAAAGGAAGATGAATATGTGTAAAAAAAAGAAATGTATTTGATCATGGTTTTATTTCATAAAGTTCTCTAGCTATGTTTTGGTCCTGGTTATAGGTCTGACTGTCAGGTTGGCTAAATCTGTTTTTTTGGGGGGTGGGGAGTGGAATCTTTTGCCTTATTTTGAGAGACATGGAATCCCGTGTTGAAGTCTGCTTATACCAAACATGACTCAATGAGTCCATACCATATTATTTTCTTATAAATCCAGAAATATGAGCAAGAGGCCTCTAGTCCTCCATCAAGGGTGTCTCCAGCTACGTTCAACTGTGGCAGGAGTTCAGGTAGGGAAAGCAAAGAGATTTGGTTTGATACAGCTGGATAGTGAGTGTGTGTGGATATTAATCCAGGGCTGCTGGATTTTATGTACTACTGAGGGCTTGAAAGTTCACTGGCCACCTGAGATCAGGGTCCTGGTCCCTTCAGTTGTGTTGTTTTCAGAGAAAGTAACTGGATGCCCTAATACAAAAGCAAAGCAACAAGTCTATTGTTGGTTTTTTCCAAGGTTGTTCATATTAACACATTTATGTATGAATTATCTAGGTATGATAGATGATATGGGAAAAAGGACCCCTGTTATAGGGAAAAAAAAAAAAACCCAGCAAAGCATGTCTGGGTGAGACACATTTTCACTAAAAGCAAGTAAAAAGCAGCTTTCTGATGAAATGAACACACAGCTATGTGTGTTTTTAAAACCCTTTAAATTTCAAATACCATTGTTTAAAAGTAGGATGTGCAATGAATGCTTACAGTTGAAGTTAGAGGAAAATAAGGGACGACACTGACAGCTTCTGTACCCCCTTCAACCATGCCTCCTCCAGTTCCTTCATACTGAGAGAACCCTCTGATTATTACAGATATGGCTCCACTGTAAAAGACACATATCTCTACATGTTACTGAAGCTGTGGAGCTGTAAGTAGTGCCATCTCATCCTTTTCAAACTTTCTTCATAGTCTTGCATCACATAAATGTACCACAGCTGTTTTAATCAGTTTGTAATTGGTGGAAATGTGAGTCCTTTACTGATTTGGTATCACAAAGCTTTCAGGAAGTTTGTGTGCTTCTCACATGGCACACACAAGAGTTCTCTCAGACAGCTAGAGGTGAGCTGCAGGGTCACAGGGCACCTGTGTGCTCTTCAGTGTGGTCTAATGCCAAGTGATTTGCTAGCATGCTTGCTCTTTTACCCTCACCAGAAGTTAAACAATAGTTCTCATTACTCCATATGTTTACCAAGATTGAATATGGTTAGAATTCTTCTATTGCATTAGCCTAAAGATATGAGATATTCAGTGGCAGTTTTGCTTTTTCCTTTAAGCTGCTTCTAAGACTGAGCATATTCCTTTAGTGGCTGGCTATTCATGCTTCTGTATAAACCTCTTTATGACTTTCTCACCTATTCTATTGAATCTTCTTTGCATTAACTCGCAAGAGTTATTTATATATTCTAGATCAGTGCTATCCATCAGAAACATAATGCAAGCCACACATATAATTTAAAATTTTCTAGTAGCTATGTTAAGAAGATCACAAATGTGCTTTTAGCCTAGTGATGGTGTAGATAAGTATTTG